AGCTGGCCAACGGTCCACTGGTGCAGGAGATAACTTGAACGTACATTAAACTCTGCGTCGTCTCTACGAAGTTGTGTCTCCTTGGAACAGGGAAAACCAGAGGCCCGATCCTACAACCCATAGTGAGTCGTTTGACTCGACCGTTTCAGCAAAACACGTAATGGCCCCTCTTTGCGTGATGGTAGGAATTTCCGGGACTATAGCGAATCATACTACGGTCGAGACCGCAATTTCCAGTACAGCAGAAGTACTTCTCCTGGTTGTACTTCGAGATTCCGAGGTGCTGACCACAGAATGGCAAAGTCGTTCATCGAATCAGTTCAAAGTACGGATCACATGCTGATGTGCAGTACCGTTAGGCGAGTTCTTTGTAACTGCTGAGGTAGTCGTGAACCTCGCAACGATAGGCCGATGAGGTAGTGGTAACCGTGAGTCGACAGATCGCCTCATACCTTTAAAACACATCTCCATAGACGCAGAACAATCTGACTAATTCGTAAAAGAGTCTGCGAAGTAGACGCCATGCATTCTCAGACATGGTTTTTGCTTTGGAAATGAAACTCCTATAAAGGGACTGGTGACGTTATTTCGGCATGTGGAAGCTTTTCGAGGTAAAACACTAAACCCTGCAAGCATCGGATCAAGCAGCTGAACTTACAGTTTCAGGTCAGCTTCTCTTAAGGTAGAAATTGCACTTAGAATTATTGCCCTCTCTTCTAGTCCTTGCATCTGAAACAAATAGATATTTTTGGAACGCTATAGAGATATTAGTGCTTGAATACTTGACCTCAATTGTTTACCGTTCATTATTTTTTGGCAATTAACTTAGAATCAGTTGCTTAAATCCGTGTAATAACTGTACAGTGCCACATTCATAACGCGGGCATGCGTGATATTCACCACAGTTGTTCCGTCAGTACAGTCATCGTCAGGTGTGCAGTTCCTTTAGCCCATGAAACGGACAAACACCAGCAGATGTCATGGGACCAGTAATGAGGTAGTTTTCAGATGATCTTTTTTGGGTCAATCAATCACCAGTTGCAAGGTGAGAATTTCAAACACTGCTCTGGACAGTCAGCAACATTAGCACGATCATCGGAAATTCACACCGATTCAGTGGTACCCGATAAGCACACTGGTCTTCTGCTCCAGTTGCTACAGACACATAAACTGAATGGAAGAATATTATGAAGGATCGAAAAAATTGCATCATCTGCCAACCCTTGCAATGAACCTTTCTGCTGCCGTCCGAAAAGCTGGTTTTTTTAAAGCTCTTCCACGTCGACATAGAAGACACGTTCTCATTACCACATTGTTTTGACATTCATAATTCAGTCATGACGACCAGGTCCCCGGGGCCATTATTGGCAGGCTAACAAAGCAATTATCGTTGAGGCCGACAGAGCGAAAAATGAAAATCTCTTTTCGGAATAATGGGCTGACTAAAAGCCCGGATGAAAGGAGAGAAAAATGACAGGAATGATTGCAACCGTTGGTGCGTCGATCTTTCGCACGCTTTCATGGTGGGGCCATTTCAGAAACTCTTCGTTACATGAAGTTAATGGCGGGCGCTGATATCTTCTTCATGCCATCGGCGACGAGTGCCTGATTTTACAGCCATATGACAAACGCAAGGAGCAATGCTCTGTTTCATTCCCACAGAGAGATACTCATTAATGAACATCAGGAGGGAAAAAGTGACTTACCCGACCGGAGCATGAACGAGGTCCCTGTCGGCTATGAGTCCGACGTTCAACCGACTGAGAACCCCCTGTCTGAAGCAATGTGTCACAAATCATTGTTCAACGGAACTTGTGGTTAAGACAAGGATTGCCACCTGCGCAGTTCGAGGCCGACAACGTGGGCACAGCACCAGCACGCCGTCGTGATGAAAAGGCTGGAGTCAATCACCTCAGTACTAAACCTCTATAAAAAAAGGGCTGTGAAAATCGTTGCCTGGAGCGGTGTGTGGCCTCTGAACAAAAAATTATAACTTATGAATAAGACGAACGAAAGAAAAAACAATCCTTCAAAAGGATAGCACAGAATAGAAAGAAAATAATCCCTTTGCTTCCATTGTGAAGACCAACTGACTAGTTCTCGTCGACATGTTCAAATTCATGCATTCATATTTCATCACCTTTCAACGGGAATGAACCATTTAAATTATCATAAGGCACGCAACTTTGGCCTTTCAGCTCTGTACGCCTAAGACGACGATGACAAAGCAACAACACTACACCTCCTCTCGACCTTAATCCCTAGCCTTTAATATCGAACGTTAAGGTTATACCTAACATTGCAGCAAGAGATTACTCTGAATTTCTTAAAATTTCTGAATTCTGAAAATCGATTGATTTTAGAAACAGTCCCGCTAACATGTATGACGTTCGAAAACCTTCCATGTGTTATACAAAATGGCCTACGTCAAACTCACTTTACAACTGTCTAATATAGCACTCATAAACAAGCGCTATTAAGCTGAATGCCAAACATTCAAATCGTAATCGAACGTAATAGAAAAAATTTATTGACCCAAGCCACTGTGAAATAGATCCATAAATTAAAATAAATTGCATAGAGTCAAACAAATTATCCAACAGAAGACGCCTTTGGCTGCTACTGCGTTTTTCACATGTTTTAGATAGTTAATTCCGAAAATGGGTTTCTGGCAGCTACAGATGTCTGAAGATTCCGTTGCGATTCCGCTGTTGTTTCTAGGCTTACAGGAAATTAAAATATTTTTTTCGGTTTATTCTCCATACCGACATCACACTGGATAGTCAGCTATCCTGCAGATCAATGCAAAGCCTAAGAAGCCCTAAGAAGGGACAAACAGACAGCATGACCGTATTCTCGTACATTTTGATATGCTCACAGCTGAACACCATCAACCTGTCAGTATTCTTCGCACGTCAATGACTTGCTACCAGTTTCTCGGAACTTCCGACTACGAGGTCGATGTCTAACCACTGGAAGACCGAGGTAAACCGGACGGACGACATCGCATACTGTACGCAAGTAAACATCATGCACGTGACGAGAATCACAGAAGACCGGAAGTTGCCATGCATCACGTGATCTACCTCCTACCATCTCTACCTCCCGACACGTGTTCCGGGCAATTCGGACACCGGAAAGAGTTGGACAGTGTTCAGACGAATGATGATTGTTCAGTCCAGCTGTGATGTGAGCAAACTGCTGTAGCACTTTACAGTAATAGTGGCCGTTCCGAAACGTGTTTGCTGTGATTCCGCAATGATTGAAGTGTCGTCATGAGCCAAGCAGTTCGACTACTCGTTTGATACATCCGATGAAGAAGTACGTTCACTCGACACCCAGGGTTGTAAGTGGTGGTGCCTCATGAAAATGCACCGCTTAAGACCAACCCTCAGCACGGCCATATTCAACCTCCACGTAACAGATATCATCCATCGTTCAGAATGACGGCGGCATAATTGTACAAGTTTAAATATCGTCCCAAATTCACACCGACCTAGTGTCAATATGTGAAGGAAGAAGTCGTTGATATAGCAGGCTTTCTGAGACGATGGCTGAACGCACAACCACGTGACAGCAAAACTTAATTATTAGCTCGACTTTCTAAACCATACTACTGTGTCTTCACCAAGGAAAGTTTATATGTATTATACTTCCAGGAATTGTCCATTTTGTCTTCATCCCGAGAAAGATTCATCAGGCACTATTCGCTTCTTGTGATTTAGTAGCTGACTTTCCACGCTCATTTTGAACGGTAGATATCGAAGAGTTTGTTTGCCTCTTCAATGAGTTGCTTTCTGTCTTGTTATAAAAAAAATTTCCCATACCATAGGTTCTCTCCTTGTCTTGATTTACCTTCATTTTTAACAGTGGAAGTCCATATGGTTTGTCAGAATATGACAAGTTCATACTACTCTACTATGATATAACTTTTGTGATCAGTTTATGACAACATAAAACATCGTTCTTTATCCAAAGAGAAATCAATATGAATATGAACATACAAGTTTTGGTGGCGCTAATACATTAGATTTTTCAGCTCTTGAGAATCCAGTGGCCAAGGGAATGTTTTACACTCATGTATACATATGTTTTCTTAAATTTTCTGATATGATCTGTAAAATTTCGATCGAATCTAGCCAATCAACTCATCTTCTGAGGGATCTTCCCATCTTCAAATGATACATGGCAAAAATATAGCTGAACCAACGCAAATGTGGTGCCCAATACCTCCATTAACACTGTTAGCCAGATTGGCCTTCTCTTGACCACATCTGTTTCTTAGTTGCGAGGCGAAAATACCATATTTTTTTCCAGACATATTTGTCTTCTGCTTCTGAATGGAATTTCGACGAATCAGTTTCAGGTTGGCTTGTATTATAGTCTAAGTCTAGCAAAGATACCCAATCCATGGCTTTAGGCAAAAAATGAAGGAATTGTACGATCGGTGTACACCACGATAATGTGCTGAACTGCCTGATGAGATTATTTAATTTTGGAATTGTGGAAGAAGTCGTCACATCCTCCATGTATGTCCTGTTTAAGGAGCTAGTGTCGAAAACGGCGGTTT